GAAGACGATGAGGCCCCAAACCATACGTAAATTTAGTATTCCGTAGCAGGGCGGATTTGAGCCTTGTACAGTACAGCGACAAAAGTGAATAATATTTTTATTAGAGATCAGCGGCTTCACTGACCGGCGGAGTGCTTCAACCAACAGTTCAGCTGATCAGGCGCTAACCAGACCGCCTCGTTTGTTGTAGTTGAGGCTTGTAGCTAGCGTCATGTGATTCTCCTACTAAAGTAGAAGTACGTTCTCGCATCCAAGTCCTGAAGAAAAGAAAAGCAATAGGACCGGACGGGCTTCCTCTCACTCTTGTCAAGATGGAGGGCGATGACCTCGTAGGTTCTGCTACTTCCATTTTCGAGAAGGAATCTCGTAACGGCTACGCAAACCACCGTGGAATAAGTTTGATCCCAATCGTCACGAAGTTGGTCTTACTTCGGCGTTTGATACCCTTCAGGGAGACATATCCGCGAACACCAAGCAGGATTTCGATCAGGTTTCGGTTGCGTCGATCAAATCTTCACTCTGTGTTAGGTCCTTTAACTGTGCCACACCCACTGTCGGCCAACAAACGCAGTGTTCTTTGGCCTAAAAGGAGTCTTTGATTCATTTGACTGCGAAGCTCTGATGGGTTCCCTTCGAAAAGGAATGCCCCAGATGTAAGTTGACGTACTGAGATCACTGTACTCACGTACCTCTGGTCGAGTGAGGGTTTACAACGAACTAAATAGGCTGTTGGTCACCAGGAGCGGTGTTCGTCCAGTGTGTCCTCTTTCATCACTTCTTTTCAATTTTGTCGTAGATGAGATTCTGGAGAACGCACTTGGTGGTCTCCAAAACTTGGGTATTGGATGAGCAGCTGACGAAAAGCTGTGCGACCTAGAGTACGTTGAGGATCTCGCCCGCCAGTTCGAATGTATGGAGGATGCACAAATGGCATATACCAGACTAGCAAGTTCTGTTTCTATTTTCGGCATGAGCTTTGCACCTTCAAAGTGCTACTGAGTCTCTTCCGGAAATGGACAATCAGGAATCGGCTGAAGTTGTCTGCTTCTCGTAAATGGGTAGCGGCGTGACCAACGACGGTGCGCATCAAAGGCGATGACCGTCCTCATTTCGAATGCCCGAGGTGCTTACTAAAACAACTTTGGCAACGGCGTCACGTTTGACTGAAGTTGAAAGTCGCATGTACTGCACTACTGTACAATCAGTTCCGTTTGAATTTGCGGAAAGAAAATATCCGTGTTCTAGTGGTTGTCGACAAATGATGCTTTCATAGTCTGGCCCAGGTTGGATAAAGTAAGTGGGTTAATAACCTAGAAGGAGATCTTTGGGTGTTTGGAAAGCATCGAACACGAACTCGTTATCTCATGGAATTCAACTCAATAGCCTCCGCTGGTTAGGACACGTTCTGTGTATGTCTAACGATCGCCTTGTACACCACTCCTTATTTGCATTGGTCACTGTAGACTGGAGAAAGTCACTTGGAGGCCAGCAGATGATGTGGAGATGAGTCATGAAGGTGTGCACAGAGCCATTAGGTTGAGTGGATGTCTCTGTTCTTCCAGGTTTGGGTCCAAATACCTCCTTTATTGAATTTCGCTGACACTGAAGGTCCTGGTAGCAAACCGAAAACAGTGACGATCCTGCTGTCACTTCTTATGTGACAAGAATGATTAGGTACGTGTGTATGTGCACCTGGTTTGTGTAATCTGTGTGGTGATCATAGAGGTTCGCTTTCTTTTTCCGTCCCTCAAAATTAGCCCAATCGCAATCCTCCTCACACGATCTCACTGACCTTGTATGCAATATGAGTTTGGTAGCGACCAGCGAACTCCTCTTCACTGTACTACGCTGTATGATGATGATAATGGTGCTGTACAATAGATGAGCTGGGGGTAAACAAGCTTCTGGCGCGAAACAAAGAAACAACATGACGCGCTGCACGAGAAGCAATTCAAGACATAAAAGCAGGTCATCATAAAGAAGCAGTTACTGTTAACTGAAGGAGAGAACTGAATCTGTGGAACGCCGTTGCGTGGAATCAAAAGTGGGGAGTGGGGGAGAATGAATGGTGTTTTATGAAATTTAAGAGAAGAGCAGCTTTAGAAGCATTGAATGAAACATGACTGACAATACCCCAGACCGAGATGTGTCCAGTCGCACATTAACTGCACTACGATCACGATCGAAGTTGGTTAGTTTGGACTACATTATGTTTTGTTATTGAATGTTTTTTCTTTGTTTCCATTAGACTTGTGTTCCTTACTCCCATTATGGTATTTTGTGCACATGCGCAGCTAGAGGACTGAATTGCACGAGCTTCAATGTGTTTGTTGATCTTTAGGGGAGCAGACGGTGTGGTTTTGTCTTTTATTGCCGAAGCTGTTGGGTCAGTTTGTGGTAGAATTTTGTTGTGGCATATTATTTGCTTGAATCTTGAATCTGTTTGATGTGCGTGGCACTTAGCATATCTGTTTATGCTCATTTGCACTCAAGTCAGCTACTTGGTTTCCATTCGGACGAGTAGTGTTACATGAGTGCTATATTGATTTGGACCGTCAGTGTTTGTGTGTAACAGCTTAGCTGTTCTCACCGGTCCGCACATTGTGTTTGTGTTGTGTTGTTCCCGTGTTATTGTTGATTGATGCATAGTGTAATGTGAGCTGTTTGCTTGTGTGGCACCGTACGATTTGTCATTGCGTGTGGGTCATGAATGGACTGTGTTCATTGGTGATTATGTGAATGGGAGATAGTTAGCGGAAGGATCGCATTGACCAGGCGATCGACTGGAAAGAGTTGCATTTCCACAGGTAGACCACATGAGATTTCAGTCTCAGACTGAAATGTGAGTGTAAGTTCAAGGGTTCGACAGTGCGTAACTCCATGATGGGGCGACGACAGTGGTGTTCAGAATAATATTCGGACTTGAATAGTGTAAGCTCGGATTCGGACCTTCAAGAGATCCCATTGTTGTCTGCGTTGTTTTCAGCGCACACGCGCATTCTCGTATCTAGAGGCGACGGTATACTGCTGAGCTTCTGTGCCAGAGCGGGGTTCAGGTTAACCGTGAATCTATTGTGATTATCTGTTACTTTAGCCATTATGTGTGTGTGTGTGTGTGTGTGTGTGTGTGTGTTGTAAAAGTGAGATTTCGACTTGGGCGCCTTCTCAGAATATAACCGTTCCAGAATTCCCAGTCATATGGTTCCCCTGGTATAGCTAACGACATTGGCCTGTCAACGGACGTTTTCATCATCTGATCGAAGTTTACCAGTTTCTTGCATGGTCGAAATCATACTGTATTGATACTGGAAGTTTGTACAACTTTGTTTTTCATTAGCCGAAGGGAAGTCCGGATGCTTGTGTTCATGATTTTCGCATACTTAGCATTTGTTCATACGGGTTTGCGATTGAAGAAGACTTATTTCGTCATTTTCTCATTCATTACCACTATTATATTTCCATTCCGCACCCCACCAATTCTTGTTCATTGATCCAATATCTTATTTCCATTACGTGTTCATGCTTTATAATCATCACATCAACACTGTCCACTTCAGGTCCATGTGCACTTTCCAAATAGTGAGTATTGTATTTAGTCTTCTCATTGTGNGTATTGTATTTAGTCTTCTCATTGTGTGTGTGTGTGTGTGTGTTTCATCAGCGGCACAGTGTGCGGGGAGTTTCAACCGGCCAAATGTCATGTGAACCCTTGTTGGCGCCACCCAACTTTGATGGTAGGCTGCTTTGCTATGGTCCTAACCTAGCGGGGCCTTATATCATTCACCACTCCAGGTCCCGGAGCTAAGGTCGCCGGTTTTCATCACTGAAGAGCAGGTTTTCGTGACCATAGGGTTCACCCCGTCTGGTGTTCATCACACAAGTGTTTGATAAAATATATTACTATCGCTCTACAATCTCGGGTCTCCCTTATCTGGCTCAACGATTTTCAATACACATCCGGTTATCGTCTGTTTAGTCCAACTACAGACAGTGTTTCTCTCGCCCATTCATATACCACGTTGCTCTGACAGTTTGCTTGCATCATAGCTTCAATTGCGTGGCATTTCTATGAGAGAAGGTCCTGTGTCCCTGAACCACTCAGAATCACCACCACTGGGCCGTTTGAATACCAGTCATGTTATTTTGCTCAGTCAATAAACAAACTGCCCAATGCATTTTCGATAGTCCGAAGATTCTGTTACGTTTTAAAGTTTCCTACCGTTTTCCTTTTTCGTCACCTGTTGTTGACTATCTGAGCGCAATGTGTGTATGGCTTCGCTATAACCCGGTGAACGGCTTCTGTGTTGAGATCCGTTCCTTGGCTTCCTGAATTGAAAGGAACTGTGGTCCTAACAGTCGTCATGTGAAAAAGAAAGGACTAAAAGTACTACATTTTCAGTGTGCGCTCTGTTGTTGTCTCCGAATAATCTGTTCAAAATTAATCATCTCACTTGAGGGATTTCCACTGTGCAGATACCTACCCATGTACTTATCCTTGTAGTCCTCCCTTCATTTCAAGTCCAAATCAGTTGTAGCCGCGACATCTCAGTCACTTACTACTTGTGCTGTCTACTGCTTTCTAAATCAATCTCTTAGTCCTTGGGAATAATTCGTCACTCGCCGTAAATGGATGCTGTATTTTTCTGTGATTGATACAGTCTCATAATCATGAACAGACGATTTTTTTCTCGGCCTTTTCAATAATGAAATTCCAAGGTTGTGTGGAGAAAGGGGGGGGGGAGGTTCCCAAATAACACCATACTCATACGCTAGTTGTGCATATTTTTTATCAATTTTCGCTTGTGAAAGTCGCACCCTAATCACTCTATTCCCATTATTTCAGGTCTATATGAGTTGGAGAAACCAATACGTCTGCGTCGTCTTGGCAGTCCGGCAGACCCAAGCTTGGTTGATGAGGCCGTTTGTCGTCGCGGTTTGCAACAAGGTTACGAGGATGCAAGTCCACTTGCTCGAGACCGTCTTCAGTGTATACCGCATTTGGCTATTTGGCGTTGGCGCCCCACGAATTCGGAGTCCAAATCGAATAACCAAAACGCTCCACGGGATTCTGTTGATCTGCCATTGGAGCGTCGGATGGTTGTTGCACCAGTATTTCACTCCAATGGTACTTTGTCTCAAGACTTGTCAGAGGAGCGTGTCTGGTCCGATACTGTGATGCCGACAGCTTTTGCACCCGCCACTAGATGTTCAAGCGATCGTATGTTTTCTCTTCTTCAAGCTAGGTGGGTTTATTCGAACAACGAAGAGAGGAGTTTTAACGGCTGTGTGGTAGGACCGTTTCTTCCTATCACCCGAATAGCCCTAACTGACACATTTCAGTTTATATATTTTGGCTTGACTATGCTACTTGTATGTGCTCTTCGTAATTTACATTAACCTGGAAAAAGAAATAGCCCAGGTGTGATTAGCTGCTTGGTGCTGGGTGAATTGTACATCGCCCTAATGATCACATTACTTAGTCGACCCTTCGTCTATGGCCTGAAAGTTCATCACCTTAGCGGGATATGAAGTGATTCTAGGCAAATAACAAGCTTTTAGCGATACGATCGATACGATGGGAGGCATCATGCTCCTCAGCCCGACCCGATATGTGCCGTTGGTGTATCTTAATAATGTTAACGTACCTCTCCCGTATTCCAGAATCAAATGCATCGTGTAACTATCAGTTTAGTTAACCTTTAGAGTGTGTGATGATATCAGTTTGTTAGTGCGGTTCCTGAATTCATAACGGACGCCAAACTCCGCCTGATGTTTCGGAGATAGCTCTTCACTCGTTTTGATATATCTTTAGAAAATTGCAAACCCCGAGAGTTTTGGCGCTTCATGGATAAGCCTTCACCCGTGGTTGATGTAATCGCAATGCAAGTCCCTTTTTATTGATTCGAATGAGCTCCAGTTCCTTGCTTGAAGGTTGTTTACATGTCCAACCGGCATGTTGACAATTCGCTTACCTTTGGTATTCCACCGTCTTCGATTGCCGGCTTAGCTTTTTCGGGCGTATCCTAGATTGAATCTCCTTGGGTAGCTCTCCTATTGTTGCGAACTACGGGACGCATGTGTTCGGAAATAATGTAAGTCATCAAACGCTTTGAATCGCCAGTGTTGGTTGTAAATAGATAACAAAAGGTCCCTCTCACGAACCGTCTGCGTGACGCTGCGTTGATGCTTCAGCAGGCACGCACACTTAAAAAGTCTCTCTACCTCGAGATCTCGCTATTTTGACATTTGCCCAAATAGCACCTTGATTGTATATGCTTATCTGCTATATTCATTTCGAGCCAAGGCGATTGTCGCCGTTCTAATCGGCTCAGACTTAGTGACTGTACCTCAAACAACCACATTAGTCCCCCAGCCCATTGGACGTTTTAGTTACACGAACCGTTGGATAAGTCGTATCCGATGATCGACTAAAAGACAGTAACCAAAACTGGCACGCGTAAGTGCATGGTTAATGGCCGTAAAAACTAAAACTGACTGGACGAGGATCAGTCACTTAGCATCACATGATCTGACCGGCCATTTAGTTGACCGGCTTGTAGGTGCTTGCACCCGCATGTGCTTATACGTTCTAAGCGTATATCAAATAGCTTGGACCCTAACAAATTCAGTTGGTTGTTCTGTTAACAGGGCTCATTCGGCCGTGCTTTGGAAATCGCATCGTTTTCTGTGTTTTATTCAGGACATAAATGCATCTGCGCATGCATGGATCGGAAGGAGACAGTGTTCATATTAGCTCGTGCACCCAAGCTTCCATTGCGATGAGACTGCGCCTTGATGTGGTGTGATGGTTTGTGCATCTCTGATCAAACGAGCTACACGGGATGTCTTTTTTCAAGTCGGAGATATAGTCACACCTGAAAGGTTAAAAGATAGAGGTGAGATGAAGTCCAGTCTTCCGGTCCTCCAGGTTAGAATTTGTGTTTCATTCGGTAAAAAAGTGATAGAGGAGTAGTCGATCTAAGTAAATGGGCCTCTACTTCGCTTCACCCGCTACCTTGTGGCTAGTTTCTCGTTAAAGCATAAGGTTTTGATTGAGAGCCCTAATCATTCTCCTGTTTAGTGGATAGACACCTTAGCAGTACCCGTCNACCCCAATGCATACACAATTTAAAAATAGTTTCATTCTACATCAGTCGTCGCGCAGAATGATCATCACCACGCTGATCATTGCATCCAGCGGGTTAGGTAGTGTTAAGTGGGTTACTTCGCAGATATCCCGACCTTTGTTTAACTTTTCCTCTTATATACCCAACTGTCTCACTGTGCCCCTTATCGCGACGCGTAGCATTACTCCAGACAACTTGTGCATCACTCGCCAAAGTTCTTCACCAAGTAGCGCTGTAGGTAGTTTAACAGTAGATTGCTGGTTCTGAAGCCTCGTCGATCACTTACTTAATCTGGGGGTCTTTAACACTAGGACTCTTATGCAAGTAGGTCAACAAACTTATCTGGCGCGCACAATGGAATCCTTTGGGATCGATGTTTCCCGCATATCGGCTGCTCAATTCGGGATCCTGATATTATACACCACTTGAGTGCGCCAGATTTGTCGAGGTACGTTGTTCGTACACCAGGCGACGACGAAACCCATTCAGCAGATTAGCGCGGGGTAGGTATTGTACTAACTAAAAGGGTCGTGTCCTCTAGTATCGTTTGGATCGCCATCAGCAATCGTTTATGCGCGATGCGTCTCTAGGGTTGAATCAATTTTTCGGAAGGAAAGTAATACCAAAAGATGTTTGTTCGTCATATCGTCATATGCACTAACTATTTGCGGCCCCGATACATGAAAGGACGGTTTCTACGATAAATTCATTCGGTTAACTCAAAGCTCCAACGTATTTGTACTTGTAGGCTCGAAACCAAGCGTATCAGAAGCTTATTTAGGTGGTAGTTGTGCTCTGCTCTGCCAGATATCGACGGACGTCAACGTTGTGCTCCAGTTCAACTGGTACGCTAACTCAAATCGACCACAGCAGTGAGCTACCGTTTAGGTGGCTCAGTGCAAATTCGCAGATCTTACTGGACCACCCGCGTTGAGTTTGGCCACGCATTGGTTTTGTTGCAGTTCACCCTCCAACTCACTGATCGTCTCCAAAACCAGCAAATTCGGATAGCTCGTCATGGCCTGTCTGTCCGAGCAGTTCTTGCAAGCGGTGAGTCAAGTCTAATGCGTGGGCTAAGCGCGCTTCAGCATGGTGGTGTGGATGAGCAATGGGATCAGATTAAGCGAGCAATGTATTCCGTAGGAAATGTGGGTCTGAGCCTCAAGCCCGGTCGGAGGCATTGGATGAGTCAGTAGCCCCCCCTGATAGGGAAAGTCTCAAATCCTGATCTACCAGGCTCAAAGCGGGGTGAGTGGCATCTGCGAAGTCCGCCTACGAAGAGCCACAAGAAGGACCATGAAAACTGCTGGGCAACGATTGCTAGTGAAATAGAGGTAGGAGATACAACAAGGAATAATCAGACTGTTCCGACCGACAGGGGTAGGCAAACTCCAGTTGGTAAAACAGTATGCGATTGAGGGAGACAAGCTATTCACAAAAGGGATCAACGACTTGATCACTGGGCGGGATACTTCAGCGAACATTTCAGCTGGCCTGAAGCTATCCAGATTACCGCATTTGCAACTGAAGTTCCGTGGGTAGTGTCATGCAATACTCCCGCAGAAGCAGAAGTTCGGTCTTGCATTTAAGCTCTGAAACGAAAGAAGGCACCAGGAACGGACGGGCCTCTCATGCTCTTTTCAAGGTGAGTGGTGGTAACCTCTATTTGGACGCAAGAGCGCATTCCTTCATCATCAGGCGAATCACTGATCACTCCTATTCGGGGAGGAAAGAATCTTGCAATGATTGTGAAAACCACCGCGGAATCAGTTTGATCCCAATCGTCACCAAATTGCTAGCCTCCGTTATACTGTGACGTCTGACTCCTTTGAGAGAGACCTACATCCGTGAACAGCAAGCCGGGTTCCGGCCTGGCGAGATGTATTGACCAAATTTTACGTTGGGTCAGGTCCTTTAACTGCGCCACACCCACTGTCGGCCAACAATCGCAGTGTTTCTTGACCTAAAAGGACCTAAAGGAGAAGTTGGTCTTACTTCGGCGTTTGATACCCTTCAGGGAGACATATCCGCGAACACCAAGCAGGATTTCGATCAGGTTTCGGTTGCGTCGATCAAATCTTCACTGTGTGTTAGGTCCTTTAACTGTGCCACACCCACTGTCGGCCAACAAACGCAGTGTTCTTTGGCCTAAAAGGAGTCTTTGATTCATTTGACCGCGAAGCTCTGATGGGTTCCCTTCTTCGAAAAGGAATGCCCCAGATGTAAGTTGACGTACTGAGATCACTGTACTCACGTACCTCTGGTCGAGTGAGGGTTTACAACGAACTAAATAGGCTGTTGGTCACCAGGAGCGGTGTTCGTCCAGTGTGTCCTCTTTCATCACTTCTTTTCAATTTTGTCGTAGATGAGATTCTGGAGAACGCACTTGGTGGTCTCCAAAACTTGGGTATTGGATGAGCAGCTGACGAAAAGCTGTGCGATTTGGAGTACGCCGATGACATCATCTGTCTTTTCGAATGTATATAGGACGCGCAAAGCGCCGTTGATAGACTAACAAATGCGGTTGCCACATTCTGTAGGACAGTGACTTGACGATGATTCATAATTCATAATATTAGAGGAAGTAAAATCGAAGTTGAATAACTCGGTTACCCAAGCGAGAAAGGAAGGTTGACTTGAGGGATGGCATACTCAGAGACGTTAGCTTGGAGTCCGCGATCCATTTACCGTGGTATTGTGTTGGTTGGTTGTATCAGCGTCTTGTGCTCATTTCGGCATGACTCTGTTTGTCTCTCTTTCTATAATCAGTAAGTACAGTAGACTAGTTCATTCGTGACCCACCTCCGTCGTCATCATCGAACATCTTGGACTTATGTGTGTGATTGGAGTGCTCGTTAACGAACCGGGGTAATCAACATATCTAAACACACCACTGTCTCTTGCAGGTGATTACCATGCCTGTGACGGGCACCTGGTTTTATACCGTAGGTCCAGATTACTGAAGTCTGTGTTTGCAGAAGCGGGATAATTCGAGCACAAGACGGGCTATGTGAATCCGATATGACAGAAATCAGGACACAATGTACCTCCTCCTCATTGGGCTTATGCGTCCATGAATATCGAAATTAACAATATCCGTCCAAGAAGCTCCATGCACGTGCTTTGCAGGTTATGATTTAAGTTTGTTATCTGTATATCGAGGTTGAGAGCAGAACTCAAACCCTCTCCCCGCGCCGTTTAATTATCGAGGCACTGCCGGTTACTCCTTCAGTGACCGTAGTCGATGAATTCGGATTGCGTCTTAAATTGATTGAACATCCCGTTTCCTTCCTGTTGGCTTCAATCTAGTTCAGTTGTTCACCAATGCATTCAGTTATACGTTCTTATTCACTTTTGTACCCTAATCTTTGCACCAAAGATTTCGCGAGCGAACAAGCTTCGGTGCCGAAACCCGTTGGCCGCGTTTCGACGAACTAATGTTCCTGTTTAATCTGGCCATCAATCCTCAATCTGTGATTTCTCAAGCTTTCCCGCGTAAGGAGAATTGGCCATTTCCAACGCACTTGGGTGCTTGTGGTCGCTGGGTTGTTGAAGAACATCATGGTGTTCCTTTAAACCGGTTTTGTGGTGTAAGTGTTTACTGTTCGGTTTTCACACCCACGTGGTAGTTCTTCTTGCGGTCGTCTTTCCGATATTTGATATTGCCTAGTTCTTTCCATTTTTATTGGGAAGCGTCTTTATGCTATTGCCATCAGACCAATCGTTCATTGTCTGATTTGATTTCATGTCCATCTATTTCAGTCGCCATTATGGTTAAGGCTGCGTATAATCCGCAACTTGCTCTCCTTACCTGAACGTCTGGAACGTCCTCCGATCGCGGGCTATGATCATGTTGCTTCCAGTCGCTACGCGCACCCGGCGACCGACTTGACTGTTGGCTACTCAATCTATCTCACTTCTTTTCTTTTGGGTACCACCTACCTGATCGATCCAACCACGTATGAGGTGACGGTAGGTGATCTGAGACAAGCGATCGTTGTGGATACGCAAACGGTAAGCGTGGCCTATTCGTCGGCAACCCCAAGCAATTACTTTTTCATTGTCTGTTTGTTGTGAAGTGCTGCTCAGAACGATATTTAATGCAATATGACACCTGACATCGTTATTGCCACCGGATAAGCGAATAAGCTCACGCTCAGTCATTCATGTTCTTGCGCAAACCTTTTACGACAGGTTGTCAGTTAAATGGAGGGGAGTTTAATTCAGTTCAGTTTCAGTTTGAACAACCATTAACCATGCATTTTCATGCGCGGGTTTTAACTGCTCTCTTTTGGCTGCCCATTTGGATGAATAATAAGAGAAGAACAGGAAAGTTGAAGGTAGAATCGAAGAGAACATTCAGAACTTCAGTAAACTATGACTGCAAAAAACTTCATAAGATGCAAGAACGCCACTGTTTACGACATCCAGCCATATCATTCAGTGTCTCTAGCCATTGGGTACGATCTTTCCCAGTCAGGGAACCTAACAGGACCTATGTGACCTAGGCCCCTGGTCAGGGTTTTCATACTCTCGTGCCTGGTCTTAGCTTGACCACCCTTGACTTGCTTCCACCCACTACT